CAAATAATAATGAACCCAAATGATATGAAATAATTTGTCTAAAATTTCTGATGACCTGCAATATCAATATCATAGAAGCTAATGGCCCCGGAATATATTTTATAAGCAAACAATAGATGAAGTAGAGTTTCCAAGGTGTACTATCTCAAGATTTCAAGGGATCACAAAACTTACCAGAGATTGCATTGGAAAAGCAGGAATATGAGGTCAGGCAGTCCATTACTTGCTTTCTCCCTCTGCAAATCTTTGGATGGTTCCAGCTCCTTGGCTTCAGTGGCTATCCCTTTTGCTGTCGGTGCAAGCTGCTTCGCAGATATCCAACCCCTGTCATGTGTAGCAGAAGGAAATTCACTTTCATCTCTTTGGTTGTTTACCAGATTTTGATATTGGGGAGCCCCACTCTTATATCTATCAGTTTCCTTTGAGTATGTAGGCACTGCAGATACATCAATATTTGAGAATCCAGAAGGTAATTGTTCACATTCAGTGATGGCGTCAGCAGCTTTCTTTGTAGAAGATACTATTGCAGACTTCAATGAATCCTGCAGCTTCCCATCAAGATGGCGTTCACTAGTAGATATTCCATTATGAGAACGACCAAAAGAATGTTCCGTAAATAGTGTATTATCACTACTAATATTCACCCTCGCATGCAATTTTGCATGTTTACTGGGCACATGATCATCAATCGTCTCTTCCGGAGCTTTTGACAAATTTTTCCTTCGCTTTTTGGATTGACAATTAGCAGAAGAGATGCCCTCATTTCTGGAAGTTCAGGACCAAAATATTTGACGTGAGATCAACAATCAAATCTACAACTTACTGTGATCAAAGCAATAGCTGAGTTCGGTTATATTTGTACATATTTATTAATTAGTATTAGTGTATTTAAGGCATTATGATGCAATGGTGCAATTATTCTTACCCAATATTGAATCTTCGACCCATGAGCCATTTTTTAGTATAGATTAATCACTTGTTTGGCTCTCGTGGCTATAAACATAACACAGGTGACGTCCCTCAATTTATTGTGATCGATGATCTCTAGGGTTGTTAAAAAGCGTATGTGACAACTCATAACAAAAAAAGTGCTGGTCAGATCATGTTATTGAATGAGTTCCCCACTCCCCAACACCACAAAATACAACATCAGACTAATATTAGCAATTTTCTTCTCTCATCATGTATAAAGTCAACAGATGGTGGCTCGATAATGATTTAAAGATCTTTGATTGCCACCAAATACATTGTTGTGAAATAATTAGATTCCAGGACCAAGTAGTACAAACTTAAGCTGATAAGAAATAGTTCGAGTTTATTATTTATATTATTTTAATACTCCTCTGAACACAGAAGCCTACTATACTGAAAGCATAGACAAAACACAAGCTGACCATTTCTTTTGTTAAATCTAAATGTTAACATATGGCACCTAATGTTTCAAGTTCTGATCCTCCTTTTCTTTTTTAAAAGAAAGAATTTTATGGAAGAGAAAGAAAATATAACTAAAGAACAGTGATAAAACATCCTCCAACCAAGATCTGATTATCAAAAGATATAACAGAAAGCACAAGCTTGGGAAGCTGCAAAAGGGAAAATCCTTACAATAGACAATTTGATGAAAAGATGACATACTACTGTCAACAGGTGTTTCTTATGTAAGAGATCTCTTGAATCATATAATTATCTACTCTTGAAATGTCAAACATCTCACAAACTCTGGAGCATAATACTCGAACTTCTGGGGATCTCTTAGATAATGGCAGATTCTGTTTATTCCGAACTTCTGGCATGGGAAGGCTTGAATTGTAACAAAGCGCTTAAATTAATCCCTCTTATCATTTTCTGGGTTATTTGGAAGGAGAGAAATAACATAACTTTTGAGAGGCTTGAACAAGATTTTAATAGCATTAAAGATAAATTGTTTCATTATTTTGACTCTACTATTTTAGGGCATAATTTAGAATGTTTTGAAGATATAGGTTCTATTGTAAATATACTAATTGACATGTAAATTTTTTGTAAATGAGTGGTGCTCCCTTAGCACCTCACATTAATACATCTTCTCTTCTTTTGTTTCAAAAAACAAATAACAGAAAGCAAAAGCCTTAAAGACAAAATAGAGATAGAATAACCATGTGATGCAGTTGAAAACAATGCTTGAAAATGAGATTCCTCTAAGAACATTATGTGCTTTAGCCTAGAGCCAAGCTAAGAAAACTATCCTATCCCAGACCATGTGAGGCTTTTGAAAATGATACTTGAAACTACATTTTCAACCAATTGACCCACAAAGCAAAGAAAATAGCTCCTCAGGCCAATGGAGAAAGGGGGGACAATTGCTCTCTAGACTATGAAAATACATCTTTTTTTCAAACAATAAACTATGAAAACACATCAAACAAATGTCATGTAAGTCTTTGACTTTGGCGAATATCATTGGTGTTAATCCTATAGAGAACAAAATTCCATATATCACCTTTCAAATATTATGGCATAGAAGATTGATAAGGATATTAGAGTTGCCGATGAGAAATTAAAAAAATATTTACAGGTATAAACACCTTGTGACTCAAGGCTTTAAGTGCAAGAGCCAAAGTACGGATAGGATTACAGCTATCAAGAATTTTCATCAAAGACCTCAAATCTATTGTTTCTCCATCATTTAGCTTATGAAAATAAAAGTGAAAACTAAGAAGAAAAGCCTCACTATACAGGAAACTGATTATATGGAAAGAGACTATAGGAACTGTTCTCTTATTCTCTAATAGATCGCACAGGGGGAATAATATCATTTAACAGAAACAATCATTCAAAAGCTTCAATATTTGACTTATGAGTTATGAGGTAACAGCCATAAACTAAATTAAAAATCCCATAAAGATATCTTCTTGGCCTCTACTTAGAAAATAAGGTGAAAGAACTCACGTATGTTCCAATTTGCCTGTATTTACAAAAAAAGCATCTTGCTTAGATGTTGAGCGCTCATCTTGGAAACATTCGTCCTGCTTAAAAGAAATAAAAGACTGTGAAAATGAGGCTACAACAGTTGTTGTACATGAGATAAGCGAATACTGTACATTTCTTAACCAAAATCAAGGCTGCAAATGATACAATTTAGTTATCCTAGCATAATTGACAAAAAAGAAGAATTGAAAGCATTCTTCATCATATTTATTTTCCACAAGTCCGTGTCTAGTAAGATAGATATTTTTCAAAAAACGATAATTAAGATGGTAATGATAGAAATATATGATCTTTTACTGCAAAAAAGCAACATGATCATGCTGACCAAAGAAAGTAATTTCCTTATAGTTCTCCAACAGGTCAAACATATAACAGCTACAATAAAATATAAAAAAGAAAATTCCTGATTAATTTGTATAAAATTACAACAAATTTCACCAACATTGTTTAAGTAGATGCAAAGAGCCAACAAAACAGATTCTCCCTAGACAAACAGTCATTTAACTAGTCATTGCACCTGATCAAAATTACAATATTAAGGACCAATAAATTGACAAGAAACCCGGATAAATTCCATTATTTTGTTCCAAATGACTAGGATATCCCTAGAATTTTTTTCTTTTTTAAAAAAAGAAACATTCAAAGCTGAATATCACTTTTGGATAGGATGACTAAGAAAGAATAGACAAAGAACGTCTGCTATAAACAAGTCTGCAGTTTCCTAAAGATTTACCTCAAATGTTTCAAATTGTTATAAAAAGATAAAAACTAGGATGGGCTTTATATGCGTGCTTGATGTATGCATATGTGCACACATGCCTAAAGCTTATGAGATGATTTTTTTTTTTTTTCAAGATAAACTAAAGCTTATGAGATGATGGCAAGCAATTAGAACCATAATTATAAATCAGATTACATTAGCAATCTTTAGGAGGAGAAAAGCATTAATTTTGGACAATTAGCATATAAAAAGCCATTCTTTTGGCTAATATCAGTTCTTCAATAAATATGGGCAACTTTCGTTTTCCTTCTAGCCAAGAACCAGTTTCATTTTTAATTTTAAACACTAACAGTCTCGATGATTAGTACAAGTGCCCATAAAAGAACTTCAAAATGCCACATTTGAGGTTTAGGTGCAAAAGAGCATGAAAAATTTGACAATATAACCCCTACTCAGCCCCCAAGGACTTCATATCTCATTCATTCAAGAAATAATTATGAAAGCATTCCACTTGAATTTTGTTGATCATGATTAGAAAATGAACTTGAGAAGCTTTTGAGGAAAGAATTACTTAGAGCAATGTGAAAATGACATTAAAGAATCATTGAGAGAGCTTGAAATGCCATATAAGACAACCAAAGCCTTTGATGTCCTTGCACTTTCTTAAAGAAACCTAATACACATAAGCTATTAACTAATTTCAGTCTCTAAGTTTATGAGCATTCGAGGATGCACAAATTAAAACATAAATTTAGTCTAATAATACTATAGCAAAATAAACCATATAAATTTTTAAAGAAAATGATAATTCTGAAGCTCTTACTAAGATTGAATGACTGCAGACATCAAGAAAAAGATGGGAGAAAAAGCATGACTTGGTTTTCAAGGTGCGAAGTAGTAATAGACCTTCAGTGCAAATTTCCAACTAATGAATCACTAATAGGATACTTGTTAGAGATGTTAGAGAAACCTCATTGAAAATAGCTGACAGAAAATTGACATGTAGTCCATCATTCAAAATGAATCATCATGGTTAGCAAGTTTCTAAGAAAGAAATCCAAGAAGGAACCAATTTCTAGTCAAAAAGTACCAGTACATCCGAATGTCACTCAAACAAATGCCATTATTAGGATCCATTAAATGGAATATCATGCAAGCAAGGTGATCAAGCTAACAAATAAAGCAAAGAGAAGCTTAAGATCAACTAACCCAGATTTAGTTACTAGTAAGAAAAAAAAGCACAAACTAATGATTATAGAAAGAAGTCAAAGCATTTAACAGCTATAGCTACAAAAGGCAATCACATGATAGCAATAAAAGGGACCAATTAGCAGAAAGAAAAGGATTTTGAATTTCAAAATATAATCACCTTCTATGCAGTTAACATAGAAATGACAGCCAACAAAACAATAACATATAAATCCAGAACCACAGACAAAATAACCAGTCTATTTTTGGCTGCTTCTAATTCTCCATTTAGCATTAATCAAACCAAGGGTCCATGACTAATCCCCATTAATGAAACTTCATGCTGAACTAGAAACTTATTTTAGTTTGGTACTATACTACACCTTGACTGAGGTCACAACCACAATCAGAACCCGACCAATACAATTGCAATTGAGATAAGCATGCGGAATGTATCAGTAAGACACATAGTACCAATTCAATCTCATAATCAAGTTCGAAATATTACAAGCAAGAAACACCTAATTTTAGGGAATGGTTATAACCTATCTCAATACACGATGTCCATTCTTTTCCGGCATATTTATAGCTCAATTCAGTAAAACTGAGAGAAGCTGCGAATTCTATGGAAAAATAAACAGTTGAGAACTAGCACCAAACAAAAATTTTCCCAAAAGAGTCTCAACAATCTCACCAGAGGAAACTGAGCCTCGCGGCTCTGTTGAGCACCGGGTACAGGAGGCTCAGCCGCAGGGGGAGACGGATTTACATCTTTGACCAACCTCTTCCATGATACAATCGTGGTCTCCCCAGGCCTTAGCTCAATGTAGAACCTCTGCCTAGCACCTGAAGAAGAAAATGAAGTAGTAGGAACCCTTGAAGACCCTTCTCCACCACCGCCACCACCACCAACACTGCCTCCATCGACCTCCATGAACAAATAGTAAATATATTCGATACGTTTAGAGCATTCAAACCGAGTTACCGAACAAAATTAACAGCGGTCCAAACAAGAAACAGTGTATAGAATAGTTGTGATCTTTTGAAGTCCAAGTTAGAGTACAATGAGAAATAGAGGAAGAAGGAGAAAGGGTTTCAAGGGCATGGCAAGAAGAGCAAAAATCGCAGAAGAAGACGAAGCAGAAAGTATTGGTAATCGAATTGTTTCACAAATCCATTGAATGCAACTTCTGGTTTTGGGGCTTTTTCCCTGGGTAATTATGGTATCTTCTACACTTGTTCTCAGATTCAGTTACCTTCCTTCTTCGTCAAAGAGACGACGTCTGTTGAATATGCCTTAACGTTTTCTGTTTCTGTCTTTCTTTTTTTAAAAAAATAAAATATCAAAATAAAATTATAATTAATATTTTTCCCTCAATGCAGAACAAGAAAAGTGGTCAAACATAATTTACTATTTTTTTAATTATGATAATCAGTAGTTGGATTAAATAAATCCGTCAAAATTAACGGAATTATAATTGGAAATAGCAAATCCAGCATTTGGATATTATCCTCCATTTAGCTCACTTCTTCTTACCTACTTAATTCATATAACATTTCTAAAATTTTTACCTTAAATTCACATGAGAATATTTTTTTTTACATTTTAAAAATATAAATAATTTAAAATATTATATCATATGATATCGTATTCTTCATAACTTATATCTATTGCTTTTAAGGTTTTATCGAACCAAGATGTTGAAAAACTAAACTTGATTTAATCTTGTTAGAAAATTAAGTTGTAATTAATCAATAATTAAGCGAGGAAAGGCAATTCGGTAATTTTGGTGCCTATATATAAAGTGTAGACAAAAGAGAAGAAACGTATTGGAGTGTAATTTAAGTAAAATTTATTACCTTCAATAAAGTAACGCATACCGTGTTTGAATGTATAATTATCTCATAACCATTGTAAAATTTATATTCTTTCATTAGTAAAATTTCGGTTGTTTATTTGATTTTCAAATTCATTCTTTTGGCAATTACAATCAAATTAAATTATCAATAAAAATAATATAAAAATATCTATAAATAATATAAATTAAAATATTTATATTTTTTATTATATAAAAATCTTATCACTCCTTGAAATTAAAAAAATAACCGTGTTATAAAATATTATTTATTTTTACAATGTCTTGTATTAATTTTAAACCCTAAGGTACTCTTGTCTTCTTCCTTTTGTGCTTCGTCTTTACTCTCACACACATTTACAATACTCGTAATATATTCTCGATAGTCAAACTTTACTTTTTTTTTTCTTTGTTGTGCTCTTGGTTCTTTCTCTAGCAACCTATATATTTTGGTTGCAACAAGAGGTGCATTTCTTATTCAAACCACTTGAACTTATCTATAGCGATCTTTTTATTTTTTTACTATTTGAGTTCTAACACAATTCATAATTTATGTGCTTTCATTTATAATATCTACATAATAGAGTTATCTATTTCTTAGTGTTGAATCAAACTTTATAGTTTAAAATTAAAATTTTATGATTTTGTTATGGAATATACTATTTTCATATATGAGATTTTGATAAAAATATATAGATGATAATTGTCACTAAGTTGTGCAGATCCGACAACCATATACTAGTAAGTGTACGAGTGGGACATTATCACTAAAAATATATATATATAGGATCAAATGGCAAAAGATGATATATAAATAATTACCAAAGTCATAACAAGAAGAAATCATTTCACTTCTAACAACTACAATAGTCACTCTTGCTACCATTAATTACAAAAAGAAATTTCACTATTAACTATGTAGTTGTGTCAAAACTCTTATGGTAATTGCAAGTTAATTTAGGAGATCTTACATAAAACCAATAATCACTACCTGTTATAAATTTATAAATAAAAAACTCTTAAAATCTATGTTAGATATTGGTATTTACCCAACCTTTTTCGAGTACTTTTTTCATATATTTATTGATCTCAACATCAAAATAACACTTAGGTTAGACTCTTATTCATTTATTTTTACATCTTACCATGGTAATAATATTATAAATATCATATGTCACATGATCAGCATCTTGTTCAAATTCAATATTACCAGTGGACATTGTTTATATAAATCAATAAGCAAATATGATAGTTATAACAATTTCAAACATCTGTTAACGAGAGCATTCTCAATACATACAAGCAAAGAATTCACCTTTGTTGTCTAAACAATTTCTCAAATAGATGAGTGACATGTTCAACTTGCCATAAAATAATGCACCATAAGAATACGATAACCTTGTTAAAATTATTAAAAAAAAAAATAAACTCATCAAGACCTAAACATCATGATAATGCTAGGAAAAAGGCGGGCCTATGTCACCTAACCCATAGCAAGTCTAAATGACAATCGTTAAGTCTCATTCACATATAATTGGCTACGCTCAAAGGTTAATAAAAAAGTATAAGATTCAAACTAGATTTTCACTTTCTTATAAGTATTAAATACTAATTAATTTTCATATGATTATGAGAATTTAATACTTAATACGTTTATAATTATTGAATCATAAAGCAAAGAATTAAAAATTTATTATAGAGTTCATGACTCATTAACCAATTGATGACTTTATAAATAGATCATCATGACTTTTTAGTAGATATGCACCGAAAAAAATAACCATGTGAAAAATATTTATACATAGTGAGTTTGACAAAAGAAGTAAATAATTTATTCATGATTAATGATGAATTAATAATTGTATATAAGTATCTATAAATATATTTTTTTTTTGTATAAAGTCTCAATATCTATTCTTAAAATCTTTTAAATGTAAGGAGAAATTTCTTTAAAAGGTAGATTGTAATTTGCATTATTAGAAAATTTTTAAAAAATATATAATAAAATTAAAAGTTTTTATAATCAACATATAGTCGAACTCTAAGTACCATGTAGTTCAATATATTACCAAATATTATTAATACATGTGTAAAAAAATATTAAATAATAACACTAAATATACACACAAAGTAGTTTCAAAATATTGCAATTGGAGACTAATAAATAAAGGGTTAGTAGGGGTGTTTTTATTATAATCTAGATTTGAATACTCGACCATGGTAGTCCAAGTTTAATTGGGCTCGATTATAAAAAAAAATATTTTTTATTAAATATAATTAATTTAAAAATTAATATATTTTTCAATACGAATTTTTCTACTATTATATTATTAGTTTAGTTGATATGGTTCGGTTTAGACCCATAAACATCACGCATTGGTTAGTTATGTCCTTTAAAGTATATAAGGTTTTGACAAATTATTACATTAGTTCTTAAAATTTGACAATTAATACAATTTATTTCAATTTTTTTTTATAATTTATTATCTAAAATTTTCTATTGCAATAAAAAAAAAATATTTGTTTGCTTTCGTTTCTTAATAAAAATAAAATAAAATAATAAGATAATTTTGAGTGTTTAAAAAAATAATTTGAGAAAATAAATTGATTAATCAATTAAATTAATAATAATAAGAATATGTCTAATTTTATTATTGACTTATTCATATGTTAATTCAATTAATTATATATCTTTTGAGTTATTTTTTTAATATATTAAATTTGATAAAAAATTTAATTATTTTAGAAAATAAAAAATTTAAATAAATAAAATATATTATAAATTAAATTGTAATTTAAAAAATTAAATATTACAATGTAGAATTTCCTTCTTTTTTTTTTTTTTTTTTTTTTTGAAGACGTTAAACATTGATCTGAGAAGGGGTAGAAGACCGAAAACGAAGAGAAAGAGGAGAAGAGGAAGAAGGAAAGGATCAATTAAGGTGCAGATGCTCGGGCGAGAGGAAACGATCGGGTGAGGAGCAAGAACAGTTCAATCACTCGAGCCACCAGACACCGGCATACGTTGGCTTCTCCGAGCCGCGGTCATCTCTAATCA